TGTTCCCTTTCACCCAAGGCAGTAAATGCCCTGGTCCTCCACCTCCTCCCACAGGAGAGTCGGTGCAAAATGTGTTTCGAAACTTGGAAGAACCAGCAGCTCCCCAGCAGTCCCATTTCAAAGCGAAGAGCTATACCCCAGAACAGTGTGCTTCACTCTCTAGGAGGATGCTGTGGTATTTCAGCAAACAAAGCACACAATTTCTCTCTGAAAAAGAGAACAATTCTTCATGTAAGCAATCTCAGGAAACGTGGCTTTCAAGAAGTGGAATACATGGCAAGACTGGATTGGTTTGGCACTAACACAAATCACTTTGTACATTTTTTTGGTGGAAAGTGTGACAGTATTTAAGAGGCTTCATCCTACCCTAGATTAGTTTTGAACTAAAGCTCAAGATCTCCCTGTTCTGAATTTTATCCAATACTTTCTGAAGAAGCATTTTTAAAATCCTAGTCTAGACAATAGATCAGGCCACAGGGATGTGGGAAGCCCTGACTTGTCCGTCTGTCTGTTTGCTGAACTGATGGATGTGCTGTTTGCTTTTACGCTGAGAACTGTCTTGCTACTTTGTGCATTTCCTAAAAACCTTCTTCCTCCTCTGACCCTTCCAGGGAGCTCTCACTGTGCCCAAAAGGGCTGTTTCAGGGAACCTGAAATACTGTGTAAGGGCAGAGTGACTGCCAAAGGCTGTCTACCACATACTGCACCAGCATTCTTTAAAGAACTGGAGTGTCTTTCATCCGATTTGGGAGAGAACATCTATTTTATTTCCAAATTGCAACCACACTTTAAATATGGTATCCTCTCATGTTTGTGCCTGAAGTCTACTTACATGACACATCAGGGACTGTACATCTGATTGTAAAGCCAAGGTATGGGTTGACAAGCGTGTGATTGCAGGGGTGTCTTGAAGATGCCTGCATAGTACATGTTGCTGACTTGTATTATGTATTTAGTACACGTTTGGGTGGTAGTGGAAGTCTACTATCCCACAGTAGTTGATATGTCAGACAAAGTTCCTGGTGACCAACAAGTGGTGGATGCAAGCCGTTATACTATCCAATTCACATAGAAATCAAATGAGGTCTAGTGAAATATGAGTCCTGATATGCCTTAATCTGCTTTTTACAGAACGGCAATACTCCTCATTATATGACTCTCAAATGATATGTCTTATCTCTTTTCCAGCAGATTTCTGTTCATTGCCTTTATGTCATTGCTGTCACAAAAATGATAATGTCTCTTAATATTTTCATGGTGGCTGCAGTCACCTGCACTGTGCTAGAGCGGTTGGAGACAAACTGTCATACAGTTGTGTGTTTATTTGGCTTCTTTTGGTGCTGGGTTGGGGCAGACTTGCTCAGTAGTTACCCTGTTGAACTTTCAAAGGTGTTTTTCATGCTGGTGGCGTAAAATCTTATTCATAGCTGGAGACAACCTTGAACATCTGTCTTAGTTCTTACAGCAACCCCTGCTGAGGCTACAGTCTGTGTCTGACCTTGCCCTAAATATCTGGAATACATATCCTGGAGTTGAGAGAAATGTAATGTTGATTTTTTTTTATAACTTTTTTTTTCCCCCTGCAAGGACGGCCTCACTGGTAGCAAATGCAACCTTTCATAATTTTAGAAGGAAAATTAAAAATAAATGCCTACAGTCCACCGTGGGCTGAATCCTAATGCTAGCACATAGACAAAAAGTTCTGCAAAATGAATGGAAATTTTACTTCTTTCGGAGGATTAGCAGAGTCTTTCCAAGCACAAGGTGAACACAGGACAAAACTAGGGAGGAATCTTTTTTAGATGATTTATAGCTTCACTAAAGCACAGAGATAAAGCCTGAAAGTGAAGTGGAAAATAAGATGCCTGCAATAAACATGGTTTTTGATAATACCAAAGTTAACCTTTAACACTAAATAACATTATATAACATATTATTAAGTTTAGGCATGCTTGTTATCAGTAGCAAACAAATCAGGAGCATGGAAGCCTCTGTCCTCCTGAGATCTCTTGAGTTCTTTCAAAATCTGCTTATGACAAGGGCAGCTCTGCTGTTAGTGGTCACTGTTCTCACCCTCATGGTAGATGAAGCCCAAAGCTCTTGGAGATTAATTGTAGCAGGCTCCCAATCTTTGGGGAGTTTCTGGACAGAGAGTTTTTTATTCAAACACTTTTCTCTCTGTCTGTCCTGGCATAGCCTGGATGGGAACATCTCTCAGCTCTGCCAAGTTTCTTGTGTCCTTATTGGCCAGTGATGTATCATAGTCAAGGTAAGAGCTTAGCAGCAGTGGATGGATGGGTAGCTAGACTAGCTCCATGCTTTTGTTTGAGGAAAGATTTGTTGTCTGTCTTTCCCAAAGATGGACCTCTCATGGGAGAGTTAGAAAGTGGTATTTCATCTTCTCCTCTCTTCTGTCTCTTGAAAAAGCTGCCGAGATGAGACAATACCTCAGTCCATACCACCCTCTGAGCCAATGTCAGGGAGCCTCTTGCTTTGTTTTGCAGATATGAGATGGCAGCAGGACTTAGAGTGTTTTTGTTTGTCTCTGAGGTGGAAAGTGAATCTTTTCATTGTAGGCTATAGATTTCTTCCAAAATCTGTTACTGCCAGAGGACCGTGGACTGCAACAGCATCCCCTGATTAAGACTTCACGTCACTGTCACTCAAGGATTGCCTAGCTCTTGAATAGCATTTCTCCCAGGAAGAAGATGTTATTTGTGCTTTATTGGTCTGTGCTGGCTTACAATTCGAGTTGGGCTTTACTGGAAGGTGTTGCTTCAGACCTGGAATATTCTGGCTGCCTGGGAGATGTTATGCTTAACAGGGAAACGTGAGCTAAAAGCTGTAGATGTCATTGGGAGGTGGAGGAGGCAAGGTGTTTACTGTGCAGTTCCCACCCTGGCTTAGGCCATCCAGAGCCAATCTTTTTTGCTCTCCTGAGTTATCTTTTCCATTGGTTTTTTTTGTTGAACTTCTGTTGCACGGTTTTTTCTGTGTGACTCTATTCCATGCAATTTAAAGCACTGGCTGCACTAGCTAATCCAGTAGTGTAAGTTGGTATTTTGAACGCTTTGTGAGTTTTGAATTGCGATGACTGAGGCTTTTAAGAAAATAGAAATATTGTGTAGATTTTGACATATAGTGCCCAACGAGCTATGCCTCAATAATATGCTAAGCCTGAGCTTTGATTCAATCTGTCAGAGAAACAAGACTCCAGAGCAGTTCCGCAGAGGCATAGTATATGTGAGTATTAAATACAGGAGCAAGGTTGCAAGAATGAACCTGTGCTCACCATGTGTTGCACCGTTGCTTTATCTTCTGTGGATGTATCCCTAATCCTGTCACCAGGCTGGCTGATGTCTCCATGCCCTATTTTCCCATTTGCTGAATTGTCACCGAAGTTTGAACTTTGTCTTCTCTTAGCCTTTTTCCCTGGGCTGAATGATATCCCTACTTCAGAGAGCCCTTCTTTGGTATTTTCTCTTTCATTCTGCACCTGTGTCTCTTCTCACAGAGCTATTCCCTGAGCACCATAAGGAACATCAGTGAAGAATTAATTTTGTTTTGTCAAGTTTCTGGTCTGACCCTTAATTTAGAGAAGTCATTTCAGTCTACAATAAACTCTGTGTTCCTGCATGATGCGGTGAAAGAATTACGAGCAGTCCTTTAGCCATGTGCATTCAGGATGCTTTGGTAGCCCCATGGGACAGGTAGACTTCAGTGCCTGAAAACTTATTATAGAATGGGGGTACAGTCAGTATGTTATTTTCTGTATAATAGTGTATATATGGATCTGTCTGTATGTAAAAGCTTTTACATGATTCACTGAGGCCATTAGGAGTGGAATGGCATCCCATCATTTCAGGCACAGAGCTCTTCAAAATGAACAGTTTTTTTCCATCTTTCCCCAGGGAGCCCCAAGAGGCATCCATCCAGCATGTAGGTGGGAGGAAATTGTTCCTAAGTCTTCCATCACAGCATCCAGAAACACAAAGCTTATTGTTGGGATGAGCCTGCAGCTCGGAGTGATAAATAAGGCAGGACAGATGAGAAGGGCTGACTTCTCTTGCTAAGATAAAGGTGGACTGCTTTTTAAAGTTTAACAACCTGGACCTCTCATGAGCATGTGGAGCACATGTTGGTAGAGGGGCCAGAGCTAAACGCAGTATTCTATAAGAACAGCGAAGTAACCAGGCAACAAAGCAGAATGAGAATAAAGATCTCTTTTGACTGACTTAATCTTAGACGTATATTCTGTGCTTTCGTCTTTGCTGTGCTTTTTGCCTTTCTCTGTTTCTGATATTCATTGATACACCAGGATATATCCAGTCCAGCTTGCTTATTTTTTTCTTTTTTTCTTTTTTTTTTTTTCTTTGTTCCACGTTCATTCTCAAAATTTTGTATAGCATCTTGGTTTTCAGTCCTCTGAAGAAAGCAGACTTTCTGGCTTTGCATAGTTGGACTCAGAGGCTAACAAGAATGTGCTTTCTTAAGTGATTTTGGCTTATTTGGTGTCTGAGGTCATGGACATAGTGGAAGAACACCTGCTCTTATCTTGCTTCAGCACTTAATCCCTGTCCCAGACAAACCTAGAAGGGCACAGCACAGGAGGTGAAGAGTAATATAAAAAATTGCTCACTAGCTTTTTAGAACATCCGGAAAGGTTCATAGGTAATGATTTTATTCGCCCTGGTTTTCTCATATCCACACCAATAAATAAGATAGAAAGACACTGCTTCTTCAACTCTTACATTCATTGCTTGAGAGAATGAAAAAAATATGAGTAATCCAAGGTCTCTGCAAGCAATATAGAAAGTGTTGAAGGACAGGTGTACACGTTCCTTGTATGCCTGATGCAAGCAGAAATTTCTGTTGGCAAATCTGGCTTTGGCTAAGGCTTTTCAAGACTTGTTACCTGTCTGTATGGGTGTGTGCACATCTACTTGCCATTTTGCCTTTTTTTATTTTTTTTTTTTTTAACTGAGCCTATTTTCCTTCAGGGTGGCAAGACGCAGTGTATCCAAGAAGTCTGCCCCATTCTCTCATGTCCCCAGCACCTCAGTCACATTCCTAAAAAAAAACCCAAATGCTTAGGTGAGTGGTTTTTTTTTTTTTTTTTTTTTTTTTTTCCATGGGAATTTTGTAAATCATACGGTATGTTTCTGTGTAGCATCTTTTATACCAGTATGTCACAATACTGGTAAATTCTGGGAGGTGTAAGGGGCAGTATTGCTCAGCAGAGTTAATAATCTACAGGTTTAAACAGGTATTCAGGGTCGGTGCATTGGGTTGTGATGGGTGGTACTGAGCAAGCAGCCACAGAAGAGTATTTAAGCATAGACCAGTTGGCTTGCTTAGAGAGACAAATCTAGAGATGTTTCCCATATCATTACATGTTTTACAAAGGCGGGAGGAAATGTTTCGTTGGAATTTGCCACAAGAAAAAGGCCTCACCCTCTCATATTTTTATTTGTGTGCATTTGCATTCTTGGTTTTGAGGAAATACAGGTCAGAGGAAACTTCTGGACTGAAATTGCATTCTTAGAAGCTGTCATCAGAGAGGTCAGGAACCCAGGAGTCTGCCTCATGGTTGCCTTCTTAAGGTGGAATCCCGGTTTCAGCCAGGAATATTTTCAGTTACATCTGTCCAACGTATTTTAAAGGAGTAAGTCAGAGGCCTCTAAGAAGGTCTAGTTCTTCAAAGAAATGCTAAGGAAGGCAGTGACTTTTGAGAGTCCTTATTTTGCTCTTACCATGTCCGCAGATCCCAGACAGCATGCGTCCCTCTGTTTCACAAACAAGGAGCACAACATCCTACCAAGTATATTAGCTTTAATTTGGTCTATGAGGTTATAACTAGGATTGGAAAATTTTCAGAGCTGATAACTCCTAGTTCTTCAACAGAAACTTTTTTTAAAAAAAAAATTTGGTCATATCTTTGCTACTAGCCAAAGTCTGGTTTCAGGTCTAGGTTAGGGGTACAGAGAGGTCTGGCCTTGGAGGCAGCAAGCCATAGAGTTCCAGCTTCTCATAATACTTAACATTTTTGCCTGCTTGAAACAAACCTGAATTTATTCATTTATTTGCTAATTGAGAAGAGCTACAGATAAATATCTGCCTGGAACATTTAACCTTAGCACCAGATCGTAATACAGTAGAGGAATGAAATGGAGAGGAGAACAGTCTAAATGCTGAGCTTCTATTTTAGCTGAGAACAGTTTTTCTTTCCTTCTGTAAGCTCTTCTTGTCCTCTCCACCCAATGCTTTTCTCAACTGAGACTTCCCCACCTTAATCTAGGCATTCAAAACCCAGCTTTAATTTTTGACTGTTTCATGGGGATTTTTCTCCAGATTCTGTTTTTCCTCTTAGAAACGTCTGTAAATGAGTTCACTAATAATAATGATTTTCATTTTATGTGGTCTTTCCTCTAAAGCATGTCATATACATGTGAATAGATAATGTCTATTCACAGGGAAAAAGTTTAAAGTTTTGGAGTGGAGGTAGAGCCAAGGAATGTATAGCACACTGCATGGCAGTCAGGAAAGAAACGTTTTCAGGGATGCTGAGGCATGGTTTTTAAAATATCATGTGGAGGACCTCCCTGCAATTGAATTCCTGATACTCAGTGTATATAGCTTGGAAAAATGTTGTGGACTCTACTGGGACATGAATTATTAGTTTAACTAGTGGTTATGAGCCAGCAAAGCCGACCATTAAGCCAATATCTTCACCACCACATCTTTTAAAGTGGTGGCTCCTTTGTCAGTGGTTTTTTTACCAACTATTTGAACTGGGTTGGCCACCCGGAATTGCGCTGGGTGGTTTTCAAGGCATGACAAGAGGGTGTGAGAGAGAACTGGACTTTTGTTCACTTGTTGACATAAGTTATGTGATTGAGGTCCTGGCCCCACATAGAGCAGCAGAAGTGTTGTTCCAGGCGGGACTATGGCTAGGCTTTGCCCATAAGTGGTGCATGGATGTAGAGCAGTTCCTTTTAGGGCTACTGAGCATCCTCAACTAATTTCATATGTCAGTCCTGCAAGGGAAATTAAGCCTTTGCAGAAAGATGCACATACAGTAAAAGGAAGGCTGGTTATGCAGGCTCAGGTTAGTCCAAGGTAGCTAATTTGCAAGAGAGAGATGTTCAGATTATGTCTAACTGAACATTAAGAAATATTTCTTAACTTCTGTTTAATAGTTATTTTAACATTAGATTTGTAAAAACTCAGAGCTAATCTGTTGGATTTTGCTGTGTGCTTATCCTTTTGTTTGCTTATATCTTAGAGGAAAACAGAACCTTTTTCTTTTAAGGTGTTCTACTTTTATTAAGAATTAATGAAAAAGGGAAGGAATTACAGTGTCCCAAGACCTGGTGTCTTGAGAGCTAAAATATTGGCCTAGTACTTAGTGGCTTCTTGTATGTACTTAGAGTGGCCATTCCCTGCCTTGGAATTGGTGCTTATTTAACGTCAGACTACAGAAATGATAAACTGGGAGACTGGCAGCCACTCATAAAAGAACTTACTAGTTGGCTGCCACCAAAAGTAAACAGGGGTAGGTATTCGAAGGCAGGAAGGTAAGTATAGTGTTTTTGTAAAGAGCTCATATTTGTGTATGGTAGTGGTCACTTCTTTAAAATAACCCACTAGGAAAGAAGCTGAGGAGTAAGAGAAGTTTGCAGAACTGCAAAGTGTGTTGCAACTTGGATCTGGAAGTGCTTGCGGGATTGCAGGACTTGAGGAAGGATTTGATATTGATTCTGCCTTCTCTGTGTAGTGCTCTAAACCTTGCCTTCCTCTCATGAAACCCAAATATTTTATGGGTTATGGAAACGACACATCTCGTGTTGCCCTCATTCTGCTCATAAGCAATGCAAATGCCTGTATTTCATGCAACCTTGTGTGGACGTGGTACACCAAGCTATCTTAATGAGACTGAACAACACCTACTTTTTTTTTGCATCAGTGTCACAGAGTTGATTTAGTTTGGCTGCTGTGAATCCCTGAGGTAGAAATGCTAAAACCAGTTAAGGCTGCTTTATTTGATAAGTTATTGCATTAAGTTAAAGACTGTTTAAACTAGTTTAAGTGTACCTACCCTAAGAGTTTGCAGTGCTTACTTTTTATTCCTTTAGCTGCACTGTGCACTTTATGATGAGGAGAAGAAAGATTTTTTCCAATATAAACAATCCATAAATCATATTTATATTCCCTCCCATGGTAGAATTGGTACAGATGAATGTGTGCTAGAAGAACAGCGAACTGTTAAAAGTATGTATTTTTTTTTTCACACCAAGATGGAAACACATAGCAAATGACACATTGCACATTAATTTGGTCTGGTGACAATAAGCCCTACTATTTTTGGTGACAATATGGCATCTTTTCAACCACATTCTGTTTCTATTACTGTTTATTTATATTCAGGACAGAGGAAAGTGTTTGACCTCCCATTTGGAAGCTGCCTCTTTCACAGCAACGTGTATGATAATGGGTCCTCGTTTATTTACGACAACTGCACAATGTGTACATGCCGGGTAAGTCCACAGTGTTTTGGGATTGTGTGCTGTGAGTTCTCTGGCTAAGCAGTAATTTGTAGGGCTGTGAAACTGTAAGCCCTGATACTGCTCTCCTTTGGTATCTTGTGTGGTCCCCAAGAATCTGAACAGCACTTGCAGTTGTGCTAGGAAAGTTTGAAGAGTTCCTGACTGCCTCAGCTGAGACACAATGCCTGTCTCTGTGTGAGGCAAAATGAAGTTACTAAGATTATGTGATCCTCTTTAAGTTTGCATTACACTGGGAGACGAGATTCTAAATGGTGAATTATCACATCTCTGCTGAAGGGCAATAGGTTTGGTTTTTTTTTTTTAATTCCTTCCACATGACTGTGGCCACTTGCACTTTTATACCTGGGCACAAAAAAAAGAAAGCATCACCAAATCAAAGATTTTGTAGGCCAGCAGAAGTACAAGCTGAGCTTTAGCTTCACAGACCATGAAAGATTCCCTTAATACAGCAAATAATTTTTATTTTCTCTGAGCTGACCTATTTAAAGCAGTTGGGCTGTAGCTTGGGTGGATGCAATGACTGAGCAAGCAGAAACATAATGGTAAGGACACACAGGAGCACAAACATCTTGGCAATGATTTAATGATTTCCTTTTACCTAGGATTCAACAGTGATATGTAAGAAGAGGTGCTTGCTTCCTGGCGAATGCAATAAAAACAAAGACCACTGCTGCAAGGAGTGTGTCTCATATATCTCTCCTGAGGAAGTGAAAGTGTGCAAGTTTGGCAATAAGATCTTCCAGGTAAAGTTTCAGGTGTGGCTCAAGAACAGATGCCACTGTAATGGCTGAAACAGCATGAGTTTACTGTAAGTAAGTATTGTGGCTTGTTTTTTAGCAGAATCCTCACCATCCCTGATGATGATGGAACAACTCAGAGGCAAAGCTTTGCAAAATGTGCCATCTACAATATTTTTTCTGAGTTTGTGTAAATTCTGTTGATGCACAGCAGTTAAAGATTAGTTCCCCCTTGATGTGACTCCGTACACAGATTCAAGCTTCTGTTTCATGACAAGTAATGCATTTTTAGTAAGAGATAGTAATGCTCTGCTTTCCCAAACACTGTTATTCATGGAGAAGATACTGTGAGTCGTATGGAGGCTTTATCTGCTGAGCCAAAGAGTCTCTTCAATAGCTGAGCCAACAGGAGCTGTGTGAAATTCACCTTAGCTGAAAGTTACTCATCTTGATTTACCACATTTCACATCTCTGCTAAGGACAGCACCCCTGACATCTTATATTGGGATGGCCATGTAATAAACGTTACCTGCTGCGCTCTCACCCAGTGTTTTAAAATCACAAGGGATTCCTTGTAGAACACTTCAGCTGTTGCCGAGACCCTGTTTGTTTCTTCAAGTGGCGCGGCTTTTTTCACACTGTGTCGGAAAAAGATTCTGTCAACTTGTGGGCCATCTGTGAATTGAGAGACACTTGAATCAGATCAAATGCTAAATCCTTTGTGAATACTTGATTTGTTCAGCCAGAATTGCTTCCCATTTATTCTGTCTTTTGTGTACATAGCTGAAGTGTTTATTCTGGAAATTACATGTGAACCTACTGTACGCTGAGACTATACTCCATCTGATTGGCACTTTCACACTGGTGCTATTGTGCTGCAGGAACAAATGCCTGCTTCTTAGGCACCCAACTAAAACATTCTGCTTCTTGTGAAGATCTTGTTATATTACTAAGTACTATATGGAGTCAGAAAAAATAGCGAGACATCGCACCCATTTCTGGCCTCGTGTGTCAAAAGGGAAATCCAGCGTTGCTCTGTTGAAGTTAGTGGTCTAACAGAGTTAGAATGGGCACAGTGAATGTGTTTTTGCAAAACAGATGTGAGACAAAAAATCAGGGTAGCTGCATGCAGTCAGCTGTGATATATTCTGGTACCTTAACAGATGCTTGGATAGCGGTCATCAGAAGCCCACAAGGACATGTGGTGCATCGGGAACACCAGGCAATTGTAGCATGGCCTGGAAACGAAAGATAGGGAAGAGACAGCCTTTGATCACACATGCTGTGCTGAATAAGTTATGCTCCTTGGCATTTCAGATTTAGTCTGTTTTTCTCTCTGGTCAGAACATCATGTTGAGGTGGGCACGTAATTGTTCACAGCTGTCTGGTTGGACTGCCTGTTCCTGTCAGGTCTATCCTCACCCTTCCTTCACAGCAGCCCCATAAACAGAAAACAGACACATTTTGGCTCTAAGTGGGCTAGCACAAGACGGTAAGTGGGTGAGACAATGTTTTAGGAACTGCTGTTGGCAAATGCATCACGATGTAAAAAGGAGCCAGGGCAGTTCCACAAGCAATCCTTCCCAAGTAAGTGGGGACAAGACCATGAGGCATATTTTGCTCTGCACCTAATACTTTAAGAGCCATACGTGGATTGTCTTACCTGCTCTGCATTTGAGAAGTTCAGCACCGTATCTTCTAAACATTTTCAGATGTTTAGCAGATCAAGTGTCTGTGAAAGTGCTGTAAGTAATCTAAATTAGAATTCATTATTCAACTGTTCCTGCCCTAAGTCAAAAATGATGCTGCATCTGGGAATAAATTCACTCTATGCTGACATCTTAATCCAGTACTTTCATGTGCAACAACTTAAAGACATCACTCAACCCAATGAATCAGGTTTTTCTAATTATGTTAGCTTAAATGAAAATTGGTGGTAGGTGTGATCACATCTCAGATACTGGAGAGAAAACAGTGCACGTAGTCAGGACACTGATGAAAATGCAAATGTGATGTGGTCAGTCATGGAAAAATTAATTTCTGACCTGGAGGGCCAAATGGAAGAAAACTCTGCTGAATTTGATCTTTGTCTTTAATCTGACTGTCCGTGGACAGACACCTCAAAATAATTTAGACTAAACAATGACACAATGCCAACAGGGAAAGTCATCCTTTCTTGTGCAACGATACATTGCTGAAATAGCTTCTTGTTGCCACCCCAGCTGATACTATATCATGTTCCCTTTTGCAGGATGGAGAGATGTGGTCCTCTGTGAACTGCACCATCTGTGCTTGTGTGAAAGGCAAGACAGAGTGTCGCAAGAAACAGTGCATTCCAGTCAGCAGCTGTCCTCATGTGAGTTTTTTAAAAGAACAGAGCTTTCTTCTCTTTTTTTTTCTCCACTGTTATCTTTTCCAGTGATTCTTGGAAGTTTGTGCATGGCAGTGGGGCACGCAGATTGGAAAGAAGGGATCCTCTGGCATATTAGTTTAGGCTGGCGTTCCCCAAGTGTGCTATTGCTACCCTGAATATGGGCTTCCCACCACTGTCCTTGCTCTGGAGACTCTGTGCTCCTTTTCTTCTCCTCCCTTTATGTTTCTCTGTCCCAGGTATCTGCACTGGAACATCCTTCAGATATATTTAATAGCTTGATAGAGCAGTGAGATTACTATGTTAATATTTTGAGAGCATGCATATTGTTAAGGCAAGCCACAGGAGGTGATTGTACTTGCATTTTTCAGTGCATAAGAGGCTTAATACTTGGTTGAAAAATGCAAATTAGACAAAGCAAAGCAAATTATTTCAATCAAGCCATGCTGCTTTCTCTAAGGTTGCAGCCTGAGTATTTTCTTATTTGAAAGTCTGAACTGAACCCAAAGAGTGGTGTAATTGTAACTTTCCTTAATTGCTTGAAAAAATAGCATTACTTGAAACCTAAAGTCAGCCTTTGTTTCTTGGGTTTCTGTCACTGACAAATTATTTTGTTTTAATGGCTCCAGCTTTCAGAAGAGGGAGCTCTAAATAGCACCTTATGTAGGGGCAGATCTTTGAACAGAACTGCAGGAGAGAGAGCCAAGTCGTTAGTATTACACCTTCTCAGTGTTTCCTTCTCCATCCTGGAAGCTAGTAGGGAAAATATGAGTCACAGGCACCTAAGTAGAAAATTTTAAATGACAAACTCTACTTTGTAAAATTTTATACGTGTGAACTTCTGACAGCCAGAAGTGGTGGTAGAATACAGAGCCTGTACCTTGGTGCTCCCTGTTCTGCCGGGCCAGCGGGCTGCAAGAGTGATGCCTGCATCCTCAGAAGAGGGGACCTCCTTTTCCTGTCCCTCTGGCACTCGTTGCAGAGGGCAATTCTCCAGCCAACAGGCATCAGTGTGAGATATTGCATACATCTTAGGAAGTATGAACAAATGGAGCTGCTCTTCTGGGAACCTGATGTGGCTCACAGCAATCAGGTTTGTTCAGGCCAATCACAGTCTAAGCAGGAGGAAGGAGCTTGGACCCTTCAGGTCTCTTCAAAGTCTTTGTTGGCTGAGAACCTGGCACAAACTGCATCTCATTTATATTTTACCTGTGCTGATGTATTTCAAATGTTTGAGATGCTTTTGAGATCAAATAAATAATATGGCTGAATAGAAATCTTAAGTGAAATACAGCACTTCAGCAGTACCCAGGTATAAATTTGAGCATTGAGATGATCAGCTGAAGTGGCTTCTAAAATGAAGATAGTGGTGGGTAAAAAATCACCATCCGCAGTCCTGTGGCAGCATAACTGACTGATGAACTCATTCAGTGCTGTTACGTGATCTGCTCTAACGTTAACATGAAGTCCTAAACTGCCCTAGACCTCCGAGTTGAGTCCTCAGACAAGGTCCAGTTCCTTAGGGCTGAAAAGACCAGTTTTGTTACCCTGCAGCACCATTCCTTCCAGTACCTAACCAGTCAGCCTGCTCCCTGCCTTAAAATGATGTCTACAGCAAGCTGCACACAAACCCACCCTCCTCCACAGGTACACATTACATTTCTGCTCTTCCAAGCTAAACTGGAAGGCCAAGTAGGAGAAAGAATGTAAACTCTAGAGTGAGATTTATTTTCCTATTAAAGTGGGTACTGAGTAATTTTAAAGCAAATGATGTATGCTGATGGATTTAAATCTTTTACTTTTCATGTGTGCTCCACTCTTTTTGGTGAGATATTCTGTCACAATTCTATAAACACGAATTAAACACACCACATTATTCCAGATAAATGTATATCAGTGATTCTGATACTGAAAGTCTGGATACAATGCATAGAGTTACGCAGTTGTCTCCACAAAATGTAGGGGTCTGAACTCCATTTGTTTTCCTCCCTTCACAATATTTCTGGTGGTAAGGAATCTCTACTGACTATTGAAGACTGCTGTGGAATAAAATGCTGTTTAGTGTCCCTTAGGGTGTCAAGCCACATAAAATGTTATCTCATTAAAACTGTGTTATGATATACATGACTGAGTGTGAAAGGACTGAAGATTCACAAGGAACTTACAATGTTATTCCTTGACTTAAATGCTTTACCATGCAGTCTTAATACTCTTTGCATGATGTTGTGGGGGTTTTTTTGTGATAGAATATTATTTAATTTATCAACGTAGACTTTGGCCAATTATTCCTTGAAAGGATGGGTTTCAAAGTGGTAATTCTGCAGAAATTTACAATAATGTGTGACCATTCCTGTTATTCGATGTGTTGGTCACAGGCTGACATATTTTCGAAGACTGCTTCTGCCATTTATTTAATTTTCTTCATAGGACTAGGCACATTTTCCAGTTTCTTTTTTTTCTTTTCTTTTCGGAGCATTTAATCCTGTATCAGTAATTACAGGAAGTGTCGTTCTTAGCTTCTTTTCCTCTGCAGCAGAGGCAATACATCTCGCAAATCCAATCCCTCCTGTCATATTTATAGTCAAATCAGTCCTCCTTGGCCTTCTAGTGAGCCTTGTGGCTTGTGGTTTCTGTTTTTTGCTTTCTGACTGCTGATTCCACATAGATATTCCCTCTGTCATTTACCTGGAGTGTCAGCCGGCAAGGTGCAGTACGCGCTGGCCCCCATCCAGCCAAACTATGAAGCATGTGTCCAGTCAAAAAAAAATAGGCCCTTCATGTGTGCTTCAACTTAAACACGTGCTTAAATACTTTATAGAAAGAGAGTAATCTCAACAGCTGGCAAGACTGCGTTTGAGAGATCCTTTAGACCTTTTCTTACATAATTTGCTGTTTGCTTGCCCTACCCATGCTTCAGCTTCTTTCTTGCCTTGTGCCATCTCCTTTACGATTACCCATCCTTCCTTGCTTCCTCTCCTTACGCTTTTGCGTTCCCCACTAACAATGTAAATGTGGTAAGTGGTTATGGACTTACCTCTTTTTGTACTGCTAGAGGAGAACCTGGTGAATTTTACAGCGTACAGCCTTTTCTGAGTTCCAAGGCTGTGCAAAAGTCAATAGAATTAAATTCACGGCATGTGAAGACATTTGCAGAGTTCTATTCTGTGGGTAAATTTTGAACCCGTGAACTTCAAGTGAGTTGCAAATTTATTCGGAACACGTTCTCCCATCTCTAGCACAGACTGCATTTAATGTTATACACATCTGTTATTATTACAAACAAAAAGTTGCTGTTTTTACTTCAGTGCCAAATGAGGCACAAAAAAACAACAGCTGTTGCTATTGCACAACCAAACAACCCCCTTCCCCCCTGCAATTAGTCTTGCCTTGGAAAAAAAAAAAAAAGAAAATAAAAACCTCAGACATAAAATTGAAAACCTCATAAAAAAGAAGAAAAAAATCCCAGAAAATAAATAGACTCAAATGTGGTCTGCTTATAAATATTCATAGGGAAAAATGGGATCACATCACTTAGCCCACTCCTAAGGGAACCCTCAATGCTAACGAACTCTTGCAGCACATGTTAGCAATAATGGGTTTCCTTATTCTACAAGACAAAAACAGGATCTCAGGCCAACATGGTGGCTCAAGTAACCAGCCTCAGCAGGCTGCCTTGGAGATTCCAATTTCACTTGAATTCTTGCCACTTCCAGCTCGGCTGATGATTTCAAACTCTTTTATGGAAGCGGAGAGGTAAGGCTGTGCAGGGCCGCATGTGGCATTCAGCTGCACATCTTCCATTCATACAAATAAGTGTTACAGTTTTAACGGTTCCTCTTTTAAGGGGTTTTGTCCTAGCAGGTGCTTGTTAGGTCTCCCTGTTGCAGCCTTGTCCTCAGCTATTCTCTTTGCTCTGGGGCCTGGTGGTCACACAAACATCCAAGCATTGCCCACACTGCCAGTGAAACTCTGACCCGGCCCTTTTCTCAAGTCCAGATGTGCCTCAAGTCTGTTCACATGCAGTTGCACATTCAAAGACAATCTTCCACTGAACTTTTATGCCCTGAGGATGATGAGCCCAAGAGCACTCGTGACCAAGCCGTCACCAAGCTCTCATTGTCCAAGCTTGGCAGCACTGGAAGCAGAAGGCAAGGCAGACAGCAATAGGGCTTACTGTGTCCACCTCCCTCCTCTCTCCATAGACCTGCTACCTGTTTCTTGTCTGTTTTCATGAGCTTTTCTTGCACTGTTGAGGATATTGAGTGGGCAGAATAGTACAGCTCTACTCTCTCTTGCTGTTCACTCATTGCTTACCTGCTTGGTAGGGAACAGGAGCAGTAGTCCCACAAAGGGGACTTTCTCTGTGTTCAACTACTGTTGGAGCAAAGGGTCAGTGCTGCGGAGCAGTGCAGCTCCATGTGCTTCTTCCTTCTGTGTATGGGAATGCGGGTGAGCTCCAAAATTACCATACATTGGAACTAGGTGATCTTTAAGGTCCTTTCCAACCCTAACCATTCTATGATTCTATGATTCTGTAAGTTCTGTTATAACCTATGCCAGTTTTTGCTTGGAAAAACACATTGTTCAGTCTGTAATTTTCCAGGCTTATCCTCTAGCTTGATGATTAGCTGTATGGAATTTAAGTAGAATCAGATAGAACATCTTTTAATTCACTGAAGACTGAAAAGGACCATGAATGGATGCATACAGAGGCATGCCTTCTGCTTCTAGCCAGCCTTGTATAAGACACAACCATACATGAAATTGCCCTGGGCAGGGTGGTAATAAAGACTTGAACCTTTTGTCCATATTAGTATGACTAGACTAAATTGCTTGCTTTTCGATGTTGCACATCCTTGGATGCATGCCCATTTACTTCACTGGGGAGATTGGTCCGTGACTGGTAATACAATTTGGTGAGAGATACCAGAAGATTTAGCCATGAAAGAAATCTGGCTGAATTAGATCTCTAATGGTGACTCCTTCCTTCCTTCCTTAATTTTTGTAGGAAAAAGGAATCATTTGGGGAGAGTGTGGGGGTGGGCGTGGAACAGATTTCCCCTGTGTGGCAACTAAAAGGGTGTGCATAGGAAATGCATTGTATATGTTTTGGGAGGTTGGGGAAAAGGTAGCAATCTTGTTAACCCAATGACTGGTCTGCTTTAGATATCCGTGAATACATGAGTCCAAAATTCTCTCACACTCCCTCTAAAGAGAAAAATGGTAACAGAGAACCCCCTTTTAGTATTTCATTTCTTATAAGACTGCCAGGAAGCTCTTTGAATAGTTCTGTCTGTTTTTAGCACCTGATACTTGAAGCTGTAACCAGGGCATTGAGTTCAAACACAACTTGAACTATTTTCAAAGGCTTCTTACAACATAACACAGTCATTGCTCCAAAACCTCTTTCATTAAATCAGCCTGTCTTTCTCCCAATTAGGGTAAAATCCTGAACAGAAAAGGATGCTGTCCTATTTGCACTGAAAGTAAGTTCTTTCTTCACATTCTTTAAATTATTTTTTATTCTTTCAGAGAAAATAAAGATAGTAGAAGTATGTTTGCTTTTCTGCCTTCTTTTTAGAGGTGGCTAAAGGGCTGGTGATTATTGCTGGCCATGGATTTTGCTTCCTATAAATCTGTAAATTTAAAATACAATGCCTGGGTATTTTATTTTTTTTTTTTTTTCCAAATGAGACTACTTTTGTCAAATCTGAGGTGCTGCTTTTTGAAATATATAGTTGGCCTGTGAAATTTGTAGGTTATAAAATATGCAAATTATTAGAGTTGTAACTTCTAGGACTGGGTAAGTTTTATATCTATAAATAACAGCCCAGCTATACGTGTGTATGGTCCAACACCTTTGCAGATGATTTGTGAGAGTTAAAAAAAAGGTGTGCAGAAATCTGAGACATGGTCTGGGGCAGCAGTGGAAAGTACAATGGAAAGCTATCCTTCTGTCTGTGATCTTTAGCTCAACCATCACCTTTTTATCCCTTAACTCTTTACTTCAGGAATGATCTTATGATGTGACTTGTGTTCTCTCCTAGTCAGCAAAGCACTTACACAAATACTTATCTTTAAGCTTGTCCTATTTAAGTCAACAGGGGGACCTGTCTTCACTGAAGTTAACAGGATGCAATTACATGTTTCCTTCAGGATACATTTAAGTGTTTTACCAAATAGGGACAGACTGCTAAAATGGGGTTTTATGACTTACAGAAAGGCTTCTGAAAGAAGGAACAGGTTTTTAAGGAGAGTGTTGCCTATTCTTTTGTCTGAAATCAAATCGGTTTTGCTGATCAACTAAATTCTGGGTGCTCTTGGACTGCACAAACTCCATACGCTAAATACCTGTTTTTCCACTCTGCAGCTCAATTATTTTGAAATGTGTAACTTGCGATAAAATAAATCTAGTTTGCAAGTCTTCGGTATCAAATTAAATGCAAGGGGTAACCTCAGAAACACTTGAAATAATACTGAGCAGAGGGAGAAATGAAAGAGGATTCAACTGACGAGCAGTTGGTTTCATGTTAGCTCAGTTTCAAGGGAGCAGAAATTTGCATAAACCTCTGCTTGAAAATGACAGGTTATTAGTGTCATAAATTTATCGATCTCTATCTTGCCTCTGTTCTTATATTTCAGTCTCATGTGTTCTTTTGTGACATGGAAGAGGGAGGAAAATAAAGGGGCCAGCCATTCCCTCAAAGAATTAGAGACTCTCTACTGTAAAAATTTTTTAAAAAGACACGTGAGGCTGTGAGGCTTGTTGCACTGTCCCGCAGTGGCATGCTCCTCTGTTGCACATGAAACAGAGGCGTCCCTTTTTTTGGAGAGGTGTCTCACTATAGTATTTGGAGGAGAGATGATGCTGAGCTGATTCTAAGCTTTTATGATGAAAGGTTGTTCCCAGTTTTTATCAGGTAATGTAATCAAAGAGCTTCAATACCCATTGTCATACAGCAGTGGTGGTCATTAGTGTTTTAACAGTTGCTGTTTGCAGGGAACTAATTCCACCTTTGCACCAGAAGTGCTGTAAATCTCATCACAACATAAGACAGGCAAGGCAAAATCATAAGGATTTCAGTGATGATCGCTACCTCAGACAGCGATTAGAAACTTTGCTAATTCTGCCAGTTTCTGTTGAGATAAGCTGTATGTGCACAGCCCTTTCCCTCACCCACTCACTCATGTTCATTCTCTCTCTATGTATTAACACACCAGACATTTCTGGCGGTCCAGCAGATATTAATTTTCCAAAGTAAAAACAACATAGGAGGTACAAGAACATACTGTACACAGGAGAGCTTTGAGTGCAGTTTAAATGCAGCCAATTTCTATGAAGTGGGTCAAAACCAGTCACGTTGTTAAAGGAATACTTTAAACTGAAAAAAAAAATCAAAGGATTATTTTTCAAAGCAGTTTGTTGCAGAGAGAGAGAGAGTACCTCGTCTCCTAAAGGGCTGGAGCGTCTCTTTTGTCTACTGTTGCTGGAGTTAACTACGGTTAGTTTTGGCATGTTGCTGTTTAAGCTCCATGGCTGGTGTACAGTTATCACTAATTAAACACAGTGGTCACACTAGTGGAAAATTCAACAGTTGAGTTTACCCTGCTGTAAAAATGTAATGAAATGTACTCTTTTGGGCTTGATTTAGAAAAATCACCTCTGACGTCAATTCCATAAATTAGTAATCCTATGTTAGACCAAGGTCATTTTCATATTAAAAAAAGAAAACACTAAACCTGAGTTCAAATAACATGAACAGACTACTCTCAACTCCAGACAAAGATGGGAGTTTGCAGGGGAGGTTAAGTCTTTGTTCTCGACCAAGAAGAATTGATTGCCCTTGCCAAAATTTCAACATGCAGTTGTGAAAGCTTCCTATTGTAACCATGTAGGTGTATTTTAATCATGCTCAATAATCCTAACACAGTCTTACCAAGTCATTGTGAGGCTTTATGGATGAAGTTTTATCCAAGTGGACTGCAATCATCTAGGCCTAGCATTAGACATGATTAACTTTGCAGTAAAGATCTCTTTTGGGTCAGAAAATTTCATTCATCACAAATCATTCTGTAGCTTTTTTTAATTGACAAAATGACCAGCAGAGCTAAACCAAACTCAAGGGCATTTGGACCCAGCCTTAGGAGTAAAAGGAGTACTTGCACCTGCTCCTGCATCCTTTTAATGTATTCTTATAGAAATGTTGAAAAAAAGTGCTGACTCTTCAAAGAAAAAAAAAAAAAAAAAAAAGGAGTGGAAGAAAATAAGAAAAAGGTGGGGTGATGCATTGTAGGTACCTGGGAGAGAAGGGAGTGGGACTAAAGGACCTGGTCCTGATTCTTGTGTTATTTCCTTGCTATGGAGAAACGTATCAACAAAAAGCCTGCAATTGTTTATTCATACTGGAATGCTGTTCGTGGTTTACTTCCTCAGCCGTTTTGGTCTACTGTATAAATATGTATTTGGACAAATTGGAATAGCTATTTTATTTATGAAATAGACCATAAAGGCTCCTGTGGATTTTTTGACACCACACCTTGTAATGTGTATTATATCAAACTGCACTGTGCAGCAGTTACAAGGAAAGTACTCTATTGCTATGCATTTTTTACAGAAAAGCTAATGAAATTCTATTATGCGTGCTCTGTAGCTAGTTTTCAAAAGTTAATAATGTGTTCTGTTTGATTTAGGGCTTCATTCAGCATATGGGCTAATTGCATTCAAAGTTTCATTTTATTTTTAAAAAGCTGAGATCTTTTTGAATTATAGATGTGCAACCAGAACACCCTTAACTGGTAAACTTGTATTTTTTCCTTCCTCTCCTTACTTAGAAAGTGTCCAAACCGATTTTAGTTATAATTTAAAGTGTATTTTTCTTGGCCACTCTTAACTAGCTACAAGCCCAGAAGAGTGTGACCAGACATCTGGACATCTTGGACTTCAATTGACTGCTCTGATCTCTTGAAAAAATAAAACAAGCTATTCCATGAGCACCAGAGCTAACAGAGCCTGGTTTCCTATGGATTTGTGTCCCATTTCCTTTCTATCCCAACAAATAATAAACCCAGCTAGAGACAATATATCCTGTCGCTCTTCTGGAGCTACAAGTGTGCTAGTTGCCCAGCCAAGATGTTCAGGCTCTCTGGCTGGTCAGGATATGTGCGCTGACTGTCTGTCTGGCCTCCACCAAGCAGTATATATATCTCGCCTTTCTAGAAAGGCGAAATGCTGTCTGGGAGGGTGGGGGCATTGGGTGGAAGGCAGAAAGGTACTTTTTTGGTAACCACTCATTTCAATAAGTGGTTCTTAACCTTTACTCAGCACACTACTTACTAGAAATGAGTTGTCTTTAGGACTTTTATCCCTCCATATTGGCCAAAACAGGACATGATTTCATAACCTTTATTTTTTTTTCCTTATGAGAGTATGTTAAATCTCAGGGAATGCTAAACTGTTCTTTTCCTTGCTGTTGCTTTTTCAGCTTCAGTTTTTTGTACAGATAAATGTGTTTTCCCAAATGGTGCTCCTTGCCCAGGGTTACCTTCCCCATTGCCTTTTGTAAGGAAAGTCACTATTGCATTTGAACTGCATGATTTGCAAATGCAAGGAAAGCATGCCAGGAGTTCTATAGTATTCACTTTAGCACCTAAATACTATTATTATTAGTTTGCAAGTAAGCTGTAGAGCCTGAGGTGGGAGCTGAGCAAACTGCATGAATCACACATGTAGTTTAAGACTGTCAAATGTAAAAGTGTAGAAGTCCACGTTTAGTTGCTTAAAAAACAAATGTGAAACCTGCTGAGCTCCAAGAAGCTTTTACAAAAGCCAGAAGTTTTGAATACTGATTTGGGAGCCTAAATGCAGGATTTCCAAAAGAGGTTTAGAGGTGTTTGCAGCCAGCTCCCAATAATTTTTAGTCAGACTTGAGCGCCTAAGGCGCTTTGAAAATCCCAGCCTCCTGGTGCCCTCCTTGGAAAAATCGGTGTTTTCAGGGGCAGAGAGGGAATGAGTACATTTGCCTTCATATGCATGTGTAGATGAGCAAAAAAAGTAATCAAAGATCATGAATGCCAGGTTCAAAACAAGCAAGAGGCAGTGGTTTTTCATGCGCTTTGCCCAAGGATGCTGTAGATGCTAAAAGCATTTTTGGGTTCAAGGGGAGACTAGACAAATTCACGGAAAAGAAGTCTATCAAAGGTTACTAAATAAAGAGAAACGATGTCTAGCTCAGAAAGTCCCTAAGCTGAAAATAGTTGCAGGCTGTCAGAGTTTTAAAGGGAATTATCGTATATAATTGCCATTTTCTCTCTCTACTCTAGGCAGCTTATAGAGACAAGGAGTATCTGTAACAAGCTGGGAACAATTTACTGTAGGAAAAAAGGGAAAGATCTTCACCTGTGACCCTATGCCTTGTTAGCACAAGCTAGCAAAATTCATACTCCAGGATTGGGGAACGTAGCTTTGGTGATGCAGCATCACCTTTACATCCGTTATGTCCCAACAGAGCAGCAAGTCACACAGGATCCTAACTAGAGAACTGGTGCTTCCAATAGATTTCAAAACCAGCCAAGCAGAAAGACTGGTTTGATTCGGAAGGGAAAAAAAAAAGAAGCAAACCATAAAGCATGATGTGATTGAAACTCTCCCAAAAGGAAATAAACAACAATACAAAACCTAAAAATGGCAGGAACTCTTTTAATGTTGCCTATCTTTTGCAGTCTTGTTACACCCAGTATTTAGTGTTTATTTCTAGGCCAACGAGTTATTCTTACTGGCAGTGCCTGAGTTATCGCACACACTCTTGCAGGGTGTGGATTTTTTTTTTTTTTTAAGCCCCAAAATTTTAGCAAATCTTTGAAGAATGTTTTACACAGTGATATCAGAGAATCAATTATCCAGGCTGTTTTAAGGTAGATTTTTCCCTCCCCCATTTCCTTGGTTATTAAAGAAAACAGAGAAATTTGGATCAGGCATTCAGCTATCCAGTCCAAAATACATTCTTTTTTATTTTAACTGCACTGCATCAAGTTGACATATGACATGACACTATGTAACATAACATAAAACAACATTACTCTGCATAACACATTAGAAATTAAAAATAAATATTTCCTTTGGATCCCATTGGTACTGTCAATTTTACTTGCACATCTCTAAATTATGTTTGTCCCTTTCATGTCTTGCCTCTTAGCTACTTAGGTGAAGAACCAGCCTCCCCCTCCAGATACGTTAGTTAATAACATGTATAACATGTCCATGTTCTTGGCCTCTAGAAATGCAGACAAAGACCAATTCTCTCCTTTGAAATCTTCACTAATGTTTGGTCTGATCTTTTTGTTGATCGTTTCCTGGTTTTCATCAAAGTTGTCATTATGTTTTAAAAAAAAATTAAAGCCTGAAAACATAAAATAGAATTTGAGCAGGCAATAAAATGTATCTTAATATTCATCATGCAGATAAAGTCAGTTGGTCTCCATATAAATTCTATGGATTTTTTTTACCATTGGAAAAATTGCGTTATAGTTAACAACTATATGGTTCCTGCCAATTTATGCAGAACACTTAATCTTTTCATGGATGGTTATCGATATCCTCATTGGTATCAATGAGGAAAATAAGACTGACAGAAATGCAAGTTTTTAAAAACACTCTCTTATCTAAGTGTCTCGGTTTTCAGGCTCTGCTTTAAATTCCTTCGGGCCTGATTTCCAGAGGTGTTGATCAGATGTGGTTCATTTTGACTTCTAATGGAGCTGTCGACGTCATGTCCTTGAGAAATCAAAATTTCAGTCCCTAGTTGCCAGACATAGTAAAGAGGCATCATAATGATGCTAAGACTAGTTACTGGCTTAGCTCAAGAAGCATGCGTGTAGGAAGTTAGGGGTGAAGTCCAAATCTCCCAGGTCCTAGCTCTGTGATGGCACTGCACCATGTGCTCAGGGAGACCGAGGTTAGAATTTAGGAAGACTTTACTTGCAGTAAGGACAGCTGAGTGCTGCAACAGATTGCTGGAGGTGGCGGTGGAGTTGCTGTTACTACTGCTCTTTAAGAGCAGGTTAGATAAACATCTATCAGGAATAACATAAGTACAGGTGATCCTGCATTAGAGTTGGACAAGGAAAGGTAATGTTTCCTGGGGTCCCCTTCAGCCCCATTTTCTGTGTCTCCATGTACGTATACTTAGACACTCATTAACTACAGCTAGAAAAATGCCAGAAACATTCTAGCTGCTTTAGCATACCACTCTGCCTAGGCTGAAAAACTCTTCTGGGAAAGGTGTATTGCTTAGTCAGAGCTGCGTTGCACTCCATTGAAGAAATTCCCTGCCTCTTCTCCATAACATCCATGTTTCCTTCATTTTTGTAGGTTTGAATCTGCCTTTTGTTAGCTGCCTTTTCAGGCGAGCCATTGTTAGTTGGATATTTTTTTTTTTTAAGTGAATAAATTGCATTGCCTGTTACTCTCCCTTCCTGTGTTGGGTTTTGGTTGGTTGGGGTTTTTTTTGTTCTTTTGGGTTTTTTTGTTGGTTTTTTTTTTTTTTTTTTGATTGATGCTGTTCACAGCTCTCTGATTGCTAAGTCCAAATTTGTTACTGCACCAAGACCACCCCCCCAAAATAGGCATCATCTTTCAAAAGCAGCCTCAGCCCACAGCACTAGCAGCGGGCATTTCTCTGCCTTGAGGCTCCTTCTTCCAGGAACAGCAGCAAGGAGATGTGGTTAGGACCTATTGTTATACCAGAAGGCTGCAATGCAAATAAATTTGCTGCTCTCTTTGATTGCAAGGCAATTCAGTCAATTGCTGGGTAACTGCGGGGTAACTCAGCAGCATTGACATGAGCGTGGAAACGTTCTGCCTTGAGCAGCGGCTTCTCTGACCAGTGTATGGCTGAAAACATCAATAAGAAATCTCCCTCCATTTGTAATGATGCAAACGATTGGTAGAGATACCATGCCCTTAGGTAGTCATTGCATCATGTTAGTCATGGACTATTGACGTTGAGTTGGTAGCCTGATAACAATAACTACTACAAGTCAGTTGTGTATAAACAACATATATAATAGCTTGTAACACTGGATAAAGATGCTGGTTCTAGAGATAATTTGGGAAAAAAAACCATAAATATACTTAGTTTATAATTGTACAGTATTTATAAATGTGTCTATGTAAAATACGGCCAAAACCAGGTCCTGCTAAAGTGGTCTGATGGCTTTTAATTTCAGGGGATCACCCTCGCCTAACTCAGGACTTTAAAATTAGCTTCAAAAATATATATGTGATGATGTTTTGAATTCTCTTTCAGTTAGTGAATTAGGATTTGCTCCTACAACACAACTGAAGGGTGGAAGCTCCTCACAGGGGAATTTAACTGTCAGAGGAATGCCCGTGGCCTTAGATACTTGTTTGTGCTCCCAGAGCTGGCAGCAGAGAGACAGACTCCTCCAGAGAGTAATTCCTCTTGTATTAAAAGAGATGTCTAAGACTGGTGAGGTGAAAGACTTTCTAGTCACGTCTGTTTCTCACTGTCAGTGAGAGGGAGAAAGGATGAATTGCTTAGAATTAGGCATTTCATGTTTGGAAAGCTGCAGCTGGGTAGGAAGGCTCCCATCACACATCTCCAGAGATATGTGGGCTCTGCAAGTCCAGGGCTCTGCCTACTCTGAGATTATGTGTTTTCTGGAAATTAAATAATTTGAAAAATTTCATAGGTATTGCAATAACCTAAACTGTTCAGGTGGTACATTGTGTTTAAGGGACAAATAGATAGGTTGGAAGATGTCTTTAGTTCCTAGCTACAGATTAGCCTTCCTATGCTGCCCCAAGAAATAGTTGGCTTTTGGTTCCCACCTGCTTTGGGAAAGACTTCTACTAAAGCCATGAAGCCTCTGCTTTTCAAAAATACATGTTCTTAGTGGGTGTCAGCCAAATCTGACAGATTAGGTGTGAACAGCATCGTCTAGGTTCTTAACTGCTTTTGTCAGACTTGGATTGATCCTGATATGGCGCTTTTGTTTCTCACTCACCTGCAGAGCCTGGAGTTTGCACTGTATTTGGAGACCCTCACTACAACACTTTTGACGGACGGACATTTAACTTTCAGGGAACATGTCAGTACGTTTTGACGAAAGACTGCTCCTCCTCTGACTCGCCCTTCCAGGTGCTGGTAAAAAACGATGCCCGTCGGACCCGTTCTTTCTCCTGGACAAAGTCAGTGGACCTTGTGTTGGGCAGAAGCACTATCAGCCTCCAGCAGCACCTCAACGTGAAGTGGAATGGGACCCGCATCTCACTACCTTGTGAGACACCACAATTTCAGATCGATTTGGATGGTTATTTGCTGAAAGTGACAACCAAAGCAGGTAGGGCTGTGTGTGTTTGTGTTCTCCCTGAAGGACTTCTCCAGTGCAACATGAACAGCAGTCAGTAAAAAAGCATGACAGCAGTAATTAATGTAGTCAAAACTCTTTAGAGACTTAAAGAACCCAAAGTTCTTTCAAAATCCCTGCAGCCCACAAGCAGAGGTCCCAGCTATGAGTCTGAAGTCTTTGCAGAGCATTTGCTAAGCTGTTCCATTATGCAGCTGACAATTAACTGCCTGCATAGACAAATGTGCCATGATTTTCACTTCCAGTAACTTAAGAGTGGATTATGCAGGGTCATTGATACTTATAGATAAGAGCAAAGAGATGAGTTCTTAAACATGACATTTATTTTTTTTCCAGTTGCAGCAACATTATAAGTCAGCAATTATATAAAATCATAGTTACTAATGGCTTGAATGAGTATAAGCTGTCAAATTATGGAAACATTTCTCTGGGGCTACCCAGCAAATCCTTTTTTAAAAACCAAGGCCTAATTTGGTCTTCAGTGCCATCTTCTCAGGGTTGCTCTGTGCTCGAGTAAGAGTTTGTCCGCGAGGAACAGAGTCCACAGCACTAGAAGCAAAAGGAAATCAGAAACTTTAGAGAATCTGGTACCTTATTTGTAGAAAGAGGAAGGCAAGATAGCAGACTCTCAGGTCTTCTGAGTCCTAGAAAATAATATTAATTGTCAAAATGCTAAACCAGAGGACTTAACGTTGGTTTTGATAAACTGTTCTGAAGCTATAGTATCCTTGCATAGATAAATCCTGAGGGGAAGTTTAAAACTTTCTCATTAGCATGTGTTAGGTACTACTTTAGTCCTTAGGGATTTCACTTACACAGTGAAGTACTGTTTCAGTGAGAATACTATTTACTGTTAATTCAATTAAATGCCATGTGAAGGCAGTGAAACCAATCTTTCTTATGAAGCGCTATGGTCACAGGCGGGATGCATGGTCATACAGATTATCTAGCATCATTTTTTTTCCAAGGCGGAAAACTAGCACCCACTGTTGAGCTGAGAATTTCTCCACCTGTTCATATAGCCCCTGGAAATGTAAGTCTGCATAATGTGGATCCCAGCTCTGGGGCTCATTCTTCCAAGTGGCAATGCAGATTTTTGTGGCTGTCTGTAAAATGCACACAAGTTGACCATTATTCACAACTTCTAATTAAAAGCATCTTGAGAGTTTCTCTTGCAGCCAGCTGAAGGCTCTGAATTCTGGCAGTGTGGATTTCATTAGCCAACCACAGGCCAAGGAAAGGTTTTCAATCGAAGATGAATGACAGCTAATCCTGCTGCTATTCCATTTGTCTCTGGTGCAAGCCTAATAAATGACTACACACATCCTTGTCCATGTGTTGGCAGGGGGAGTGCAAACATGGCATATGACAACATACCAAACAGTGTGTAATCACTGCAAATTATAGCCTAAATAATTCCTCCCCTTAACGGAGCAGGATCAGGTTTCTCTTGCTGAATGCAGTGCCATGGGCCAAGTCCTCCTTTCCTCAGCACGTAAGGGCTGGAAAGCAGCAGAACGGCATGGCTCCATTTTGCTGGGAGAGGACAAGAAGCAGAGAGGCTGTAGAGAAGAGGAATGTGCTGAGTAGAACTGGTTTAAAGACAAACTCCTTGTTCCACAGGAAATTTCGAGTGCTAGGGAGCAAAAATTGCAGAATTTTCTCTGTTTCAGAACAAAACATGGATTTTTAAAAAAATATATGCTTTCCCAGTGTAGGGTGAAAAAAAGAGGGGAGGGTGGAAATAATGAAAAATAAGCAAAACCACTGCTCTATAAGAAAAATTCAAAGAAAAATTGGGCTGGGAAGTGCAGGGTCTGGTGCTTACAGCTCAGCCAGCATTCCCACGGCTTTTGATTTTCCTTTTGCAGAGCTGGGAGCTGAGCCCTGTATAAAATAGGGGAGCCCAAAGCTTCAGGAAGCTTTGTGGTCCCTGGCTACAGGGCAATCTGCATGGCAGGGCTGTCCTAGAGTTGCATACCTTGAGAGTCCAGGCTTCCAGGCAGCCCACCAGGCGAGCTGGCAGGAAACCAGCTTGGAGCCTGTGCTGTGTTGGAAGTTCATTGAATCCGATATGTCTCCCTGAAGCATTTCAGTTCTGATGAATTGGCATTTTCCAGTGAAAACCTGTTTTGTTGCTAAATTCCTCACCAGCTGTAAGCCCTGGATCCCATGCAGCAGCAATTCTGGCACCCTGCACTTGCAGGTACTTTGTCATGAGTGTGGTTGGGATGGTGTTGAGTCCTTCTCTACAGTTTGCATGTTAAGACCAGAGAGCAGAGGGTCACAGAGCTGATGTTACTTATCTGTCCCTCTAGTGCAGAAGCATTTTTTTTTTGTTCTTGTTGCTTCTGTGATGATCTTTTACACAAAGATGCTTTGCTGAGATTTTCTGTACCACGTTGTCACTCAATTCTGTAGAGAAGAGTGGTCTGGCAGTTCTGGAGGGTGCCTTTACCGTGAAAAATCACGCAGAACAGTTGATGGGTGTTCCCAGCATGGGGAGCCCAGTGTGTGATGTGCATAAATCCAGAAGGTTTTTTTTTTCTTAAATGCAGTGGAGCACATAGTGTGCCAAGTTAAGAAATCAAATAACAAATTCATTAAGCATCCTTCAAAGAAAGGGCAAAATTGGAAAGCCCTAAAAAAGTAACTCAGAGAATATTCCTTTTCTGCATATCCCCAGATGGGACAGATGCTGCATCCTTTGGCTTCACATCTCTTGGATTCTTGTCCTTGTCCAAATGAATGGGAAACTCATCCATTTGGGGGGAGGGGGAGGAAAGGGGGTTATACACACCAAGAAACTCTTCCAAACAATTTCTGTCTGCCGAGGAGACCATTTCAAACACCGCTCCATAGCATAATCCCATCTGTCACGTCTCTTGTTGGTTTACAGAAACCAACTGAATTTTCTTCTTGTGAACAAACAAAAAGGCACACACTGCACAGTGCAATCAGGGTCTGACAAAATGATCATGCGTGTAGCAGTACATACCCTTCCTTGTTACCCCAAAAGGGATAAACTCTGTTATGGACAGAAACCTTTGGGCTGTTCATCAAAGCGAGAAATTACCCTTCCATCTAAGCAATTACAGCAGAATATAGTGTAATTAAACAATACCTAGCTAGAAGAAAGTACAGCCTTTTGTGGTAGTTAAACTGTGAGTCTCTTGAATCGAATCCAGTAATCAAAGCAGGAATCTCTAGATTTAATTTATAATAATTTTATGTTATTGTCTGCATACCTGGAATTCATAGAGCAACATGTAACAAGTAGATTAACCTAACTCTTACAAAGGACACACAAATATTCTGGATAATTTTGAAGTTCACCTTTTGTAATGAATGTGAGTGGTTCCACTGAAGGTCAGTAAGTCTTGGCTTGAGAAAAAAAGTTGTAAAGGGAAAATTAAGAGAGAATAATTAGCCAGTCTTTTGTGATTTTGCTTGAAGTCCGCAGCTTCTGAGGGAGCTTGTTTGGGGAAGAAGTTGAACAGTGCCTTAAAAACTGGAGTTATTTTCTCAAAAGAACTGTCTGGGAATTTGGACCTTGATGCTTCAAGCTTTGAGAAAGTTTATATGATTCTCAAGTCTGAAGAAATCTTAGTTTATAAGTTAATGGCAAGGTTTTTCTAAATGCCAGCACGGCAGTATTAATCTGGTGTCTGCAAATCAAGCTGTGTTTTGTTTTGTTTTGTTCAGCATTGTCAGAAGCAAAGACAGCTGGAATTTGAATTTATCCAGCAATGATAATGTATGAAGCAGCTTAAAAAGCAGCTTTCCTCCTTGCCACTGTGCTGGCCTCGTTAACAGTTGTAGTCTTGCACAATTTCCCAGTTGGCTGGGTGCAAAGTGCCGCTGGAGGAGGACACAGTGGCCCTGTCCATGCTGGCTGTATTAGAAATATGAAACTGCTTTCTGGCATCGTCAGCTCAGGACCTGTTTGTGCTATCATTGCTAACCTATAGTGATAAGAAAACACGACACAAGAGACTGTAGTGACTGGTGATGCAGAATTATTGGCACAACCTTGCTGGGTAAATTGTTCCCCAAACTCTTGGTGACACGGCGTAAACCACATGAGCGCCAGGACAGTATGTACCAATGACAAAGCACCCTTTATAAATTATTGCCATAATCTGAGCCTCACCCTGTTCCTCTGCAGCACGGGTAGGAATTGTCATAGGAGACAATGGGATGTGTTGCTAAACGAAGGGTTCCAGCTTTGAACTGAGTCACTGGTATGTTAATTACTTACATGAGGACAGGGCAGGATTTGGATCATAGAGTGACAAGCACTGATTTACAAGAGGAAAGGGTGGTGCTAAGCCAGCCCACACAGCAAATGTAGAAAGCTGGAGCAAAGCCCTGGTCCTACACCGCAGAGTGATGCTGTTGGTATTCTTGGCCAGGCAGGGAGAAGAGGGTAAAATGTAGATTAGCCTGTTTAAAAGCAGCCTCCTGGGTTTATCCTTAACTAACTGCTGCACACAGGTACTTTATGGGAATAAATAAATGTCATCAGAATGATTTGTGGTCTTCAGATGCAGGGTTACTGCAGAGATGTGAAGTAGCAGCATTCATCAGACATTGGAAATAATTAAAAGAAAGGCCAATTTTGGGTAGAAGTTAAGCAGCAGTGATTCTTGGTGTTGTTTTTATCCCATATGATACCAAAATTGCTTTCCTTTATGCAATACATACTTATTCCTCAAAGGATGGAATTAATTTAATTTGCAATCACCCAGGTGAAAACTAAGAATTTAATCTCTACCTGATCTCTGGGCCCTCTAGACCATCGCTGGAAACAGAAAGGCATTTGAAAAGTAGTTTATTCCCCCTGCATTAGACACCCATGTTGTGACCCAGAGCTGCCTATTTCTCTCCATCAAAGAGAGGGCCCAAACAACTGACTTGAGATAGACACCTAGCTTTTAGATGGGTACAGACAGATAAAATGGATTCAAACCCTGATTTTGAAGTGCAAAACCTTACTGCAAAACAGATCGTAGCAGAGCACTTACATCCCAGCCACTCGATGAAGGTTAGATGTTTGCCGTCATTCCTCGGTGTTGCTGACTTATGAAGATAACTTCAGAAGGCTGGTAATTAACACCTTTTGAAGGAACAGTTTGAATCCAGTTCAAAATGCCTTCTTAAAGCAGTTTTACACATCTGACATCTCTTTGTAGCCATCTCTTTACCCGCACAAAATAAGGCACTTGTATTGGAACAGTTTTATTCACCCAAATGAGTGCTCAGAGTCAGGTCTGCAGGCAAGAAAAGGGTGTTTTTTGTAAGGTGGTCACTGGTGGAATCTTGTGGGGCATGGACACCTTTATATGCCCATGACCTGTGCAATGGGTGACAATGGCTGAAATTCTGGGCCTCCTGTGAAATCAGCTCGAAATTTGCCCTAGCAAATTCAATTTGCAAAATTTTGCAAGAGCCCTCTTTTGATGTTGAGAGTAGTTCTGCTATGGCTCCAGATTTTTTAGGATAACCCCATTCATTAGTAAGGAGGAACAAAAATAAACAGGGACGGGCATGAATGTATTGTAATTGACTGTGATTTAAGAAACACTACACTTGCCAGAGGCACTTCTAGGAGGTATATAGAAATCTAACGACATTACCAGAAAGAAGCCAAAGGCTTTGTTTAGGTTCCCCTGAAGACTGTTTCACAAACGTAAGGCGCATTCTGTTATCCTCAATTTCTTCTTTTTTGTGTGCGTGTTTTTGTCTCATCTCTTTATTAGGTTTGGAAATCTCCTGGGATGGAGACAGTTTTGTGGAAGTCATGGCTGCGCCGCACCTGAAAGGCAAACTCTGCGGTCTGTGTGGCAATTACAATGGGCACAAGCGAGATGACCTAATTGGAGGGGACGGGAATTTTAAGTTTGACGTGGATGACTTTGCCGAATCCTGGCGCGTGGAATCCAATGAATTCTGCAGCCGCCTGCAGAGAAAACCTGTGCCTGAGCTCTGTCATGGGACGGTCAGGGTGAAACTCCGAGCTCACCGGGAATGCCAGAAACTCAAAGCGTGGGAGTTTCAGAGCTGTCATTCAACGGTGGATTACACCACATTTTATCGGTAAGTGTGGCTTGCTGTGGAGGGAGATAGTAAGTTACTGTGCGAGGAGAAAAACCACAGGGTGGCCCCATTTCCGTAGCATCTGAGCACGTGGTTTGGGCTGCTTTTGCTAAGAATTAATATCCAGGCTTAGAGTTACATGATGATGAGCTTTTCTGAGTCAGGAATCAGAAGAAGATGGTCCTGAGCTAATAAAGACCTGAGCAGCCAACAGTGGGAAAGGCAGGCTTGTGGTCACCTAGAGAAAAAGTACTTTTGGAGACTGAGGAGAGAGACTTCAAAACATTTTGGTAAACTCTTTCTGATTTCAAAGTCAGCTGTAAAGTTTAATTGCTATTGCTTGTGATCCTGAGAATGTGCCTTCCCAGAAGCATTTTGAAAATTACTTTATTAGAGCAGGGATATTAAATATTACTGGGGTAGTTTGTGGGTTGAGAGTTTGAAAGGAGAGAGTTAAAAAGTTCAGTGCATGCCCATCCTGCCCAAAGGAAGACAGACGAAGATCCGGAAGCCTTGTCTGAGTGAATTATTTAAGATTTTTTTATCTTTAAAACACTTCCAGTCTAAACCACACAGACATCATTTCTGTTCTTTAACTGGCATGCATTTATGTGCCGCTTACTCGGTAAACAAGATTGGCTTTTCTTTTGACTGCCTGACATAAAAGATAAAAGCAAACCGAGTCGTGGCTGTATGATGGCAGTTGGAGCTGCCTGATCTCTGTGCTCCCAGCTTTCCCCACTTGCGCAAATCTGCTGAACTGTTGGGTTTATTAGGAAAAGCTTTCTAAAATGATTCCGTTTCTCTTGGGAATTGCCTTTCCTCTTCTTTTATAACGAGACAGAAAGACTTTTATCTACCCGAGCAGAATCCGTCTGGGACTGGGAAATGCTAGAAGACACACAGCTTGGCTCGTAGTCTTATGTCCTTCTGCATTTAGTTTGCTAGAGTGTGTCCCTGTGCTAGGAGCCTGGCAAGAAGTGAAGATTATGTTGTGTGCAGATTATAATACTCTGTTGTTTCCAATGGCTGGAGGCACAGCTGAGAGCAGTAGAGATGCTAACTCAGGCACACACACGCACAGAGGGCTGTTGAATGCATTTCGGCAACATTCCCATCTCACTTCCATTGTCCTCTAAAGGTAAGTGATGACAATGCAAATGGAAAACAGGCACGAGAGATTTGTTTGATTTTGCAGTGGGTTTTTTTTGTCCCTTTTGTAAAGTAGCTTGTGATTAATTTAGTGCAATACACTTCCTGACACCACAGCGGAAAATGGTTTATATTTTTTGGCTACAGCAGCCAGAAAAAAAAAAAAAATCTCTACATGCTTGCACACAAGAATTACCATAGTGCTTTTCTGTTGCTTTAAAATTATGTCTTCTATTTGTCCTGGAAAGACAATTAAATGAAGCAAGTATTTAGTTTGATTAAGTCCTTTTGTAGAAAAGTCTATTTTTCCCTAAGGAAACTTTATGTTGAAATGACCATCATGTTCTGTCAGAAGTAGTTATTCATTTGCTTCTGTTTAGATGTTGCCAGCTGTTTGAATGCTTAGCTCCCAATACAGGAATCAAGGATAAAATAAAATTAAATAATGGTATTTAGTAGAATGCTACTTCTTGTTAGAAACTGAAGAAGTTGTAGCAAGCAATTTATTCAGTGAGCATGGCCATTTTTCATGCTAGGAAATCCCCACAAGAAGGTAATGATTATGGGACACACATTCAAGAAAGTTCTGGGAACCTTTCTAACTCTTTGCATATATAAATGTGTGTGTGTATAAGTATAAATACGAGTACCTAAGAGATTTGCGTTTTTCATGATTTTTTTTCAAAGAACCCATTGCTGATTATGTGCTTTTGCAGAAAATTTAAATTACCATTAAAATAAATTTAAAATAGCATTTACAGTTTTTTTTACTGAGGTCTTTTAGAAAAGCATATTTAGTCAATGTTTTCTAATTTCATGCTAGGTTTAACTGAAGTTTTTCCAGTTCTGCTGTTCTGACTATGAACAAGCTGCTAGCAGTAAGAGAAGTGAAAAGGCAGAATGGAAGGGTCAGGTTTTTTCATTTTTCTATTCACCTCCTCTTTGAATTGAACAGCTTCTCAGTTTTTACCCTCCAACATTACGTAGTATGGAATTTTTCCATTTGAAATACTGCATTCTCAAGACTTAACCTTTCTTGGTCATTCTTGCCTGTATTCTTAACATTGCCTCATTTTCATTGTGCCGCTCTGGTAGTGACCTGCTGTTAATAAGAATTCTCAGAAATAGAAATAAACTCAGTAGGAACATTACAAATTAGGGTGTGTTTTCTCCAAATACAAAAAAAGGCAGCTAACAACGCATTGCAAACATCTGTCTGATGTTGTGTTACTGGGGAAATATCTGTGAAGACACCTCAAATTCATTTTAAGTCCCTATTCTTTTTACAGCTCTAGTTTCTCCTTTTGTTGGCCATCCAAAAGTCATATACAGCAAGACTGTCATGATTGTTAGGTGAAAAGGATACGATTAATGTTTTAAAAAGTAGAGATCTAGCTGCATGGTTGTGGGGTGAAGAACAGCTAACTCCTGAGCTTGACCTTGATAGATCTGTGACACCTTAGGAGAAATGTTTATGCACCTTGCCCTTGACCCTTTTTTTTCATGTGGTGACTTTGGTGATTTTTGTTTATCTGCAAAGTGCATGGTAGAAGGAAGCACTATATAAGTGCAGAAGAAAGGATTTTGAAATAGTCCAGACAGCAAACTAACAAATTTAGCATCTGATGTTATACCACTCTTTTAATTCTTTGTTTTGTAACCAGACACGTTTATGGGCTTTTAATTGTGGTTTGTTTTGTTTCGGTTTTGGGTGGTATATTTTGTCTTTAATGCATTGCTAGTTGTGCAGTACTCATGAGTAATGCTCTAAAAATAACCCTTGGGGTTGAACTTTATGGAGGCAAGTTCATTAAGCAGGGAAATTATTTTGAATTTCCAGGAGATTTTGGTTAAGTCTTGGTGAAGAAGAGATTAGCAGTGACAGTCATCACTATTGCGACTTGTATATTTTGCTATTTTAATATGGCTGGACTATCCAGCATCCTGGATTAGTCCTTGCCAAAAAAAAAAAAAAAAAAGAAAAAAATTATCAAGGTTACTCAGTAGAAGGTTTTTAGAGGAGATCCTTTGACTTTGCATGAAAAAAAGCTTGCACTCAGATTCCTGAAGCTGCTCTTGAGTATAAGCAGCACTAAAAATAGGCAATACCATCTGAATTTCTCATGCTGCTGCTGCTACCAGAAAAACCTCTATCACATCAGCAAGAAATATTACAGGACTATTTAAGCTCTTGGATGAGGATTTGCGAAGCTTAGGGGATTTGGGGAAGGAGAAAAGGACTTTCTGTGCTCACCAAGCCCTATCCCAAGGTTGATCTTGTTGTGTATCTTCGAGTGTCGTGGAGCAGGGACCTGGAGGTGACTCCAGCCCCGGTGAGGCCAGGGAGTAACATGGAGTGGGGGGCAGAAGGCTAATACCCCTAGTAACACCTGCCCTCATTAGCATCCATGACTTCCTAGTAGGGTTTTTTTTAATTGTTTGGTATCGGCAACGGATTTAGAACATGACATCAAGATGATATCAGTAGATGACCCATCTCTAAATACACCTACACAGCAGCCAAGTTTATAAATGACTAATTAGACGTTGCTCAAGACTCTCACTATTGCCACAACTTTGGAAAAATATCCATTGTCTTGCTTCTGCCATGCAGTAGACTTCCACATTTGAGATTGGAAAATTTGTGCTTCTAACTCTTGAGACAAGTCTTTTTATTGTTATTGCTCTTCCTATTATTGTTGTTACTGTTGCTATTATTATTATTACTGCATTTTTAACAGACAACAGCATACCAAATAATTAGTTACTCTTTTTCTCTTTTGTAATTGTCCTAAGAGGTATGTTTTTCTCTCAAACACATGGTTTTAATGATGTTCAATATTTTATGGCAGGCAGTAATTAACATAATAATAGCCTCATTTGTTTGAATCTGTTAATCAAACATATTCAGGAACTGCAAATCTACTTTATTGCAGTTCTTGTCTTAAATGTTTCTTGTGATTCTGCTGACATTACTCCATCTTGGTTCTCAGTTAATCAGTTAATGAGCTTCTGTTTCAGTTAGTCAATTAACTTTAAGCAGTTAACTGCTGCTGTCTTACTGTCTTTCTAAAAATTTCCACTTAACTAGAGAAAATATTATTGTTTAGAGTTAAAACATAAATTGCAATGTTGTGGAGTCCATCAGCTCCCTTTTATGAAGTTTGACAGGTACGCCACGAATGGCTGCAGAGAGCATGTGAGCCGTAGCATTGCTAAGTTAATTACGAGCTCTATTTAAAAGATGGGGACCAAGGCTTTGTGGCTTTTAAGCAGAAGGTTTGAAGGGTTTTTTTTTTTCCCTGTTAACAATGATGTCCTACAGCTGTAAAATTCATGCGGTTATGCCCCTGTGTTTGCTCAGCGGGATAGTGCAAAAGAAAGGTAGGCTGAAGAATGACTTCAGAAAAGCCTGTTTCGAGTGTTAAAGGGGTGGGTGGTGGAACTGGGATCTCTGGAGCCCTCTGCGTGCTGCCAAGGGTGCGTATTGCAAAATTCTCCCCGCAAGGTTTTCTGGTCCTGGCTTTAGCTCCAACTGCTCA